TCTCTCTCTCTCTCTCTCTCTCTCTCTCTCTCTCTCTCTCTCTCTCTCTCTCTCTCTCTCTCTCTCTCTCTCTCTCTCTCTCTCTCTCTACTAGCGCCCAGCGCTGAAGACTATTGTTATCGCTACAACTCCAGAGTGCCGCTGCCAAGTCTTGAAGACTACCTCCTTCCCTCTGCACGTGAAGTGCCTGGGAACTGCCTGCAGCCTACAGGGCGGGTCAGCCTTATATAGTACTGGCCCGTCCGGGAGGCTGCTCGCGCCTATGCCAAAATGTGCCAGACCCTGGGGTTGAGCTCCACAAAATAGGCCACAATGGCCTGAGCTAAAACCCTGGTCTGGTGCCCGAGTTTCAGGGTAGGTCGATCTTGCGAGGGCCTGAAAAATGGCCCGTTGTTTTCAGGCTGGAGGTCGAAACGACACAGGGCCTGTAGGCCCTCGTTTCAGGCTTTTAGGCTGAAACGAAACAGGCTCTACTCCTACGGACCCTTAGTCTACCAGGTCGGGCTCTGCTGGGCCCGTGTGGTACGGAGTATGCCACACTCCCCCCTCCTTGAAAGACCGAACTTACCTGCAAGGGCGAAGCTGTCTGGTGGAGGGAGGGACTGAAGTCCGGGTGGGAGGCTGTGCAGCTTCCGTCGCTAGCTGTTTCTTCTCATAATGAGCATACATGTCAGGAGCGGAGGCTCGCAAACCTGCCCGGGAAATCCATCGCGTGTTTTGGAAGGAGGGTTTTGTGATCATCGTCCCGGGAAGTCATCGCTCTTGGCTGGTGTATATGTGGCCAGCTTGGAGGCGTAGAAAACCGGGTGCACCGTGAGATTCGGCAGGATTTCGATCACAAATGAGGGGCCATCGGGCTCATCACCCGCGGCTGATGTGACGGGCCATGGTCCAAACCACTTTGGAAGTAGCTTGCGGGATACATCCTGCTCGAGTGCAAACTCTTCCGTGGAGACCCAAACAAAGTCGTCGGCGCGACGCCTGTTAGCTTGCTCTTGCATGCGGAATTGAGCCTTTTCCATGTTGGCGTGAGCTTTAGCCAGCAAGTCCCTATACTTCCGAACACAGGCGAGCAAACAAGCGGCGTCAATGTCGACAGTCCTTGGAAAAAGAAGATCAGCGAAAATGCGGCCTTTCCGGCCACCGTGGTGTAACTCGAACGGAGTCACGCCGATCGCCGGTACACCGAAGTGTTGTAGGCGAATTCAATGTCGGGGAGGCGGTCCACCCAATCCTTCTGATCCGTACAGATGAGTGTGCGAAGCATTACTTGAGTGGTTTGATGTGCCCGTTTCGTCTGCCCGTCCGTTTGCAGATGCCAAGCCGAACTTGGTTTCATCTCGGTGACGGACTCTTTCATGAGAGAGGTCCAAAATGCCGACATGAACCGAGTTTCGCGGTCGCTGACGATGTCTTCTGGAACGTCGTGGCCGCAAATCCACCCGGGGTATAAGAGACGTGCAAGTTCCGGAGCCGCGGCGTAGTACTTGCAAGGAAGAAATCGTGCATACTTGCTCAAACGGTCAACGACCGTGAGAATGCCGTTGTGCCCGAAGCGGTCCCGGGGGAACGGGCCAATGACGTCCATGGCAATGGAGAGGCCGGGTTCCGTGGAATAGGCAACGGGCGTACTCACCGTAGGGGTTGCGATTGCAGGGTTTGCTTCGTCAGCAAACTTCGCAAGAGTCGCAATACCGAGTGTCGTCGGTAATGAGATCAGGCCACCGGAATCGCCGCCGAAGTCTTGCGATCGTACGGTTGACTCCGAGGTGGCCGGCGAGTCTCGAGTCGTGGTACTCGCCGAGGAGACGAGTCCGTAAGCGACGGTAGTGTGGGACACATAGTAAGTCCTTGCCTCGTGAGTGAAGCGGCAGGTAGCCATCGATGATGTGATAATGGCTGGCCGGCGGGTGACCCGAGGATAGTTGCTCGTGGAGCATGGCGTATTCCGGATCGGACTTGTATGCTCGCACAAAATGCTGATGAAGGGCTTCGTCGAAACTGAACGTGTGGTGAGTCACTGCGCAAAGATCTGATCTTCGCGAGAGAGCATCTGCGGCTCGGTTGGAGAGGCCCGAAATGTGTTTCGGTGTGAAGTCGAACTGATCGATGAAGTACATCCACCAAGCAATCATGCTGCTCACCGTGTCTTGCGTCTTGTAGTAGGTCAATGGGTTATTATCCATCACCCAAGTGAACCTACGACACTCGAGGAGGAAGTGTCGCCAACGCTTGAGTACCGTGACGAGCGCAAGCAACTCCTTCCGCACATCATCAACGGAGTTGATGCACCTTTTGGCTGAAGTATTCAACCAGATGCCAGTCTACTCCGTCGTGTTGTTCCAAAACTGCACCCATGTCGTAGCCGGAAGCGTCCGTAGTCACTCTCATAGGCAAGGTGGGATCGTAGATACTCAAGACGGGAGCGAGGAGCAACGCCGTCTTCAATTTGTGGAACAAACTGCGGACTTCGTCGGTGAACTGGAAGGGCACCTGTGGAGACTGCAATTTTGACAAGGGTGTGGCGATCTGTGCGTATCCTCCGATGAAGTATTGGTAGTACCCGGCCAATCCCATAAAAGAGCGAACCTTCGTGGTGTTGGTCGGTTCCGGCCAATCTTGGATGGCCTTGATCTTGTCTGCAAGCGGACTGATGCCTTGCGGCGTCATAAAGTGGCCCAAGTACTCGAGCTCTTGCTGTGCGAATTCGCACTTGGCTCGGTTGGCCTTGTACTTGGCCGTACGTAGCCTGTCCAAAACAGCACGTAGATGCACGATGTGCTCCAAAGTTCGGGTATACACCAGGATGTCATCGAGGTAGATGAGCACGAACCGGTCCAACATGTCGTGAAACTCCGTTGTCATTGTCGCTTGGAAGGTGGTCGGGGCATTCGTGAGGCCGAATGGCATTACGACCCACTCGAAGTGCCCGTACCATGTTTTGAACACGGTTTTATATCGATCTCTTGGATGGATCTCGAGCTGGTGGTACCAGGCCTTGAGATCCAACTTGGAGAAATACTTGGCGCTGCCCAAGCGTTCGAGAAGATCGTCGATGCGTGGGAGCGGGCCGGCATTCTTAATGGTTTGAGCATTAAGCTTGCGATAGTCAATGCATAAGCGCAGTTCCTTGTTCTTCTTCCGAACGAAGAGAACAGGTGCACCGTAGGGCGAGCAGCTACGACGAATCCAACCCTTGTCAATGAGGTCATCGAGTTGCGCTCGAAGCACTTCGAGTTCCTCCTCACTCATACGGTGAATACATCCGCGCGGAGGTACTGCCCCGTCTTCGAGGATGATCTCGTGACGAATTGGCCGATTCGGTACGATTCCGGCGGGGGCTTCAAAGACGTCGCCATAGGAGTCAAGAAGTTGTACAACATGTGGATCTGGTGGCTGTTCCGCCGCTGGCTCGTCGGGAGGAGGGAGGGCGTGCAAGAAACAAATGCCCATTTCCTCCATGTCATTCCGTGCGATGGAGTTGCGAATGCTCACCGTGGAGACCACGTGCCAACCACTCGAAGGATGAGGTGGGGGGACCATACATGGCACAAGTACCCCGTTCCGGTCACGAGCGTGAACGGTGCAGCGGTAGAAGTTCACCGAGTGGTCCTCGCTGCGCAGCCATGACATGCCCAAAATCATGTCGAACTTTGTGTCCAATATGTCAAAGGACACGGCCTCACGTGCAAGTGGGGCGAAGTACACGGGGACGAAGTCAATGCACCGGTCAATGGACTTGTGCGTACGACCGTCGGCCAACGTGACTTGCGTGGGCTGCGATTTCCTTCGAACGCGCGGCCCAAGGCCGGCGCGGGTCATGAAATCCTGCCTGATGTAGTTGCGAGTAGCTCCACAATCTATCAAGGTGTTGCAGGTCACCTTCCTGATCTGAATGCGGACGTAGAGTAACAGTGCGTCGGTGTCGTCGTACCGTTGCGTGGCATACTCGCGGTCAATCTTCGCAATGTACTCGCGAAGGTCAACAACCGTTACTCCGTCTTCCATCAACGGAGCTGGTACCGCAGCGTGCAAGTAGCTACGTAGATCCGCCATTAGGGCGTTGCAATGCAGCTTCGGAAAGGAACCAGATGAGGGAAAAGGCAACCATTGGAAGTCCTCCGGTGTCAATGGGTCGAGTTCCTCAAGTCTAGACCACACTAACGAGTCCCCGAGTGATGTTGGCGAGGATGCTGGTTCACTTGGCGATGGTGATGAAGTCGCACACGCAAATGAGTCTTGCACGTGGAGAGGTTGGTCCAACGGCAGGACCAGCTGGACAGCATCGTCTTCATAATCTTCGCGAAGACTGGCGACATACACATGTTCCCCGGACGTGGAGGAGGTTGTTAGCAAGGCAACCGTGTCCGGCGGAGTAGGAAGGAGTCGCTTCACTTCCTGTGAAGCTCAGTTTCCCGAGCTTTGTCGTGGACGGACGTCTTCTTTGCCTTTATCAGGGCATTGCGACGTCGTATGCTTGGTGTTGTTACACCAGTAGCAACAGTTCCACCTCTGGCGAAGTTTGTATTGCTCCTCTGCGAGGCTGAACTTCTTCCATGGCTCATTCGGTTGTCCGGCTTCCGTTGTTGACGCAGATTTCGCCTTCTTCTTCTTGTTGTTTTTGTTGCGTCATGGCGGAAGGGCGTTGACTCCGTCTCCTTCACTAGACTCGTGAGTCATCGCCTGGTCGTTCTCTTGTCCATTTCCTTGGACAGCAGCGACTTGCTGCGGCCGCGGGCCTTTGCCCTTTTCCACAAAATTCGGTTGGCTTCGCCGCTCGTTGGCTGCCCACCGATTGGTTTGGATGACTTCGCGCGCCTTCTCCACGATCTGGTCGAAGTCCGTGTACAGGCTGCGCTCCCCAAGGGTCGTGCTCAACGCGTCAACTGACCACTGGAAAAATCCACGACGAAGATGTACGAATGGGATGTCCAAATTCGGAATCGTCACGATTTTCTGCCATTCGGTTAGCCATTCGCGTGTTGGCTGGTTGCCTTGATGCATGATGAAGATCCGGTTCACGCCTTTGCCTTGAGCGTCATCGACGATGAAGCGTTTCCGCCACTTCTCAGTCATGGCCTCCCAAGTGATCTTGGTGTGAAGCTTAGAGACTTCGACGCCCTCGGTTTGAGCCAGGTGGTTGAGCCACACTTGGCTGGCACCGGTGCCGCAGAGGTAAAGCGCTGAGATCTTCGACTCGGGGGGGACCAAGTGGATGGAGAGCTCATTGGTGAACCCTTGCCACCAACTGATGGGGTCCGCCTTGTGGTAGTCATCAAACTTGTCGATGCTGAACTTCGACATCTTGAATTGTTTCGGTGTCACGTTGTTGCAGGTCCCAGTTGGTTACTGCTGCAGTTGACGCAGATCCGCTTGTAGGGTGGTTATTTGCTGGCTGATGGTCGTCGGGTGTCGGAAACTGTTCAAATTGCCGACCAGCGCGACTAGGTGATCCAGCCGTCCTTCCAGCTCACGGATCGATGGCTCAATGCTTGATGATGTCGTGTGCCTGTGCGGCACGTCATCCTTCTCCAGCATGTCAAGGCGGGCGTGGAGGCTCTTCAGAGTCTCCTCGTACTCAGTGATGGTACGTGCCTGCCGAGCCAGCTCCACTTGTTGCCAGTTACAAGTGAGGATTACTTGGTGCATCACGCTGGTGAGAGTTGACTTAGTCTGGTCCTCCGTAGTTGGTTCCGTCGTTTCCGCCGGATCAACATGCCATGCTTGGAGTGCGGCGGTATGAGCGGCCTCCTGCTGCATGAGGACGGACGCGGCATCCCTTCGAGATTTGTTATGGTTGGCAGCTGCATCAGCTTGCTGCCAGCCTCGTTGCTCTTCTGCGCGTGCTATGGCATTAAGGCGTGCTGCTTCGGCTGCCGCCTCGCGTTGCTGCTCCTCTTGGACTTCCTGCATATAGGTGCCCAGACAGGCCAGGAAGGCCGTCGTGGTGTCTCCTTGCTGCCGGACTGGTGCAGCGTCGAGGGTTCCCACAGAAGTCGCAGTGGAACCCTCCTGCTGGGCCTGTGGGGCCGGGGGGTTCGAGCTGCACGCCTCACGTGGACTGCCGGATGCGGCATTGTCCATCGAGGGGTTGCCCTGGGTGTCCATTTCAGAGGGGTGGGGCAGAGGTGGCTGCTGTTCTGCTGCAGCTGCCCGCCCTTCTCGTGCTGCGATCCCGTTGCTGCATCGGAGCATAAGCTGCAGTTAGTTGTACGGTGTTGATGGCACGGTACTGCTGACGTGCCCCTGCTGCTGACGTGGCACTGCTGTCGTGGCACTGCTACTGACATGGGACTGCTGATGTGTCACCGTTTGTCGTGGCACTGCTGACGTGGCACTGCTACTGACGTGTCCTGTAACTGACGTGGCACTTACCAAGGCAAGAAAACAGACAGGGGGCTGGGTGGGAGGGAAACGCAGGCAAAC